GCAGCGTCCATTCTCCAGCACCACAATACAGTCACAGTTCTGTACAGTTGTGAGTCGATGTGCCACCACCAGGGTGGTGCGATCGCCACGCCGCATCGCTTCGTCCAGTGCTGCCTGCACCACACGCTCGCTCTCGTTGTCCAGTGCTGCTGTAGCCTCGTCCAACACCAGCAACCGTGGATTACGCACCAACGCTCGCGCGATGGCGATTCGTTGCTTCTGGCCGCCCGAGAGGCGAGAACCCCGCGGCCCCACTGGTGTGTCGTAACCCTAAATGAGGAATCCATTTTAAATAAACTACGATTACACCTGAAAACTTTTGGTAGTACTTCAAGTGATTGACGCTCTTGCTCACAATTTGCACTTTTAGTTTTCCAGAAAAAAGGTGAAACAGACCTGAGGCATATTTGTAATGAAGCTGTGCGCGTTGGCTTGTTTGGCCGCCTCTATGATCTGTTCCATGGAGGGCGGGTCCTCCTCGAAGGTGAGGCCATAAGCAATGTTCTCACCGATGGTGAGATCAAGGAGGTTCGGCTCCTGTGAGACTACACCAATATGCCGACGGATCCACGTGGGTGCGAGATCGCGCATGTTCATACCATCTAGGTAGATGGCTCCGCTTGTGGCGGCCGATCGTTGAGTTGGGTCGTAAAAGCGTTGCACTAGCTGAAGCACTGTCGATTTGCCACAGCCTGACTGGCCCACTAGAGCTACACTTGTCCCGGCTTTTACTGCGTAGGTGAAACCCTTAGAGAGGTATTAAACAAGTGTAGGTAATCAACAGTTATGTCTTCTCACTGGAAAATGCGATTCTGATCGTACCTGAAGAACCTTGATCTTTTTTCGCGTCGGATAGCGGAAGTGGACATTATTGAAGGAGACGCTGCCCTTGAATGGAACCGCAGGGAATTCGCCCTCATCAGGCTGGAGGTTGGGCACCCGATTAATAATCGCAAAAATTCGTCCTGCGGCCTCTTTCGCCTTCCTCGAGTCTGGCGCAAAGGCTGCCACGTAACCCAGCTGTTGGGCCGCAAAGGATATTGCTGAATAGGCCCTGTAACGAAAAATTTACTCGATATAGAAACTACTTTTCCTGTTTATCAGTTCAGGTACCGATTTATCCATAATCTACCCTTCCACTATACAACACGTCCAGCAAGGTTCGTGGACTTCAGAAACGCCGGCTAAATTTACAGCACTTACTTCTGTAAGACTGACGTACCACAATATCTACAGGCTTGTCTTGTGGTTGACTGCAGTTGGAGGAGGGCTAATGACATTTGTGGTAGCGGAAGGGGAATCAAACTACTTTCTTTCTTTAATTCCTACAAGTTCAAAGGTCATCTTGTTGTCCTACTTCTCAGCCCATGCCCATAGCTCAATGATAATAAAATTGGTTTGAAACTTCACTTCATTTCACCCGTTAAAAGTGGGGAATATGTGCGTACCGGAAAATACCGACAAGAGTGACACTCCCGGATTCCATTAGTTTTCCCCCAGCATAGAATACACCGGCCACCTGGAAGGCTGAAAGAGAGTTTGCCAATGCGCTGAAGACTGCATATGCGGCGGAGCTGAGGAGAATTTTTCTAAAAATTTAGGAAATACCGCCAATCAGAATTCAAAAATGTTTCGTGATGCTAACAAGAGAAGGGGACGCAAAAAGGAAGAGAGTTCTCTGTATCAAGGCCTACTTGTTAAGGGGTAAAGCTTCGAGTTCGTATCGCTGCACGAAGTGGGCTTCCGCACCCAGACTGAAGATGGTCTTAGCAGCAGAAAGGCTTTCGAAGGCGAGTCCAGCCCCTTTTACATTCGCCTTGGATCCGTCATTCGTATACTGCGTCATCTGCAATTGGGTAAGAACGTGTAAGGAGTGGCATGGTTTTAGCACCAACGGAACTAATGCGGCGGGTAGGGAGAATATGTGTGCTTGGGCCAAGGCGGAACACGGCCTATGCTGCAGCGGCAGTACCGCGCACTGATTCCTCTCACTCTTTTTAATACTTAGTGTACACGTCATCGCGAGGCAGTTTAGACGCTCCCAATCATGATGGAAGGCAATAATGGTACTACATGCGTGCACGTAATGAAAAAATAAGGACGAAACGGTTTCTCACTGATGCAATCAAGAAATTAGTTGACGGTCAGCTGAATCCCCAGCCCTCAGCCTTGATCCTTTCTCCGAAAATTTACCCAGAGCTTAAAACACCTGCCTAATCCTGCACGCCTAAGGCACACACAACATACCGTAAGATAAAATCTCCCAAGGAGCTACTCCTTATGTGGAAATGTTAAACGAAATCCACCGTGAGCTCGAATGTTTACAATTTTGAAGTGAACCAGCCTGTACCAGGACGGTTTTGGCATACCAACAAACCCTCCTGATCTGAGCCCGCAGGAACTAGCTAAATGTCTATATATTGACAGAAGAATGCGTCAAGAAACAAACGCAGTTTGGACTCCCTGTAGCGGACCCAATTTGTGCTGATAGCGGTAAGGTGGCTCTTTCATCCAACAGTGCTCGATCAGAGAAGTCAACGCCTTCCAACGGGGGTGTACACGAACCCCACATCGTGGGGCAAAACAATGTACGCGTAATTCTGTGCGTTTGACAGACAAAGTTCCTATGTAGCTACGAATTTGCGGTTGGCTAGGGTCTAGGTCTTGGAGCGTGGGTCATCCATACCTTGGAGCACTACACAATAGTAAGTAAACAATGGTAAGTAGATATAAGCTTACATTGAAGGCTCCAACAACAATGAGAACGGGGAAGTATGCCAAGGCCACAAGAGCGATTTGCCAACTGTAGACAAAGGCGATGATGAGAGAGATGATAATCAGCGTAAGGACCTCCAAAAGCGAGGCCAAACGACGCCCCGAGATGTTCTGAAGTGTCGGCACGTCAGCAGCTAGGCAGCCAGTAAGAGTACCTGGCTGATTCTCGGAGGAGTCAAACCATCCAACTTCCTAGAGAGGGAAAAGACACCATAAAGAGATCTTAAGGGAAAATTAAGCAAGTAACAACAGGGTTTCTCTTGCCTGATTTAAGATTGCGTTGAAGAGGATGACTCGGCAGCGCTTGGTTAGGCGAGCACCTGCTACGCCCCACAGATAGCCCTATGATAGAAAGGTGATAGATATTAAATGCTGATGGGACTGCATCCCCTTTTCCTCACCACCTAGAAGAGGGTGTGAAGTTCCCGTGGTTGCGTAACTGACCAGAGTATGAGTCGGAGGTATAACCTACGTGTGCCCTCTTGTCACACAGAAGTCATTACCAGTCAAGTGGTAGAGTAAGTGGGAATATCCTAGGTCTGAGAGAACACAGAACACCAAAGTCTAGGAGTTTTATCCCTCTACTTCAAGTTGTACTAAGAATATGAGACCTTGAACAACTCAAACCAGTCTTCTTGCCACCCATGACGTGGTTCGGTCACTTATCATTAACTGATGAAGAACGCGTCACGTATAGGTGACGTTGGCAGCAAATCTGTTCCTTAATCAAAAGGCTGACATAGGTGAAAAGGCTTGAACGTCGGCTGTCCAATGGAATAGTGGACCAGAATAAGGAGAAATTTCTAATTCACTCAAACCATGACCATAATATTCGCCCAGATAAGGTGCATTGAAAAATTGGGATTGGAGCGGTTGGAGAAACGATGCCTTACCCCTCCAAGAAGGCAAAGAAACCTGACAATGCCCATGGCAGCAAGGACGCCAGAAAGGACGGAGGTTCGTTGAAGTTTTACTTTATTATCCCTTAGCGGAAATATCTGAAAAAAAGCGAAGTCTTGTTCAGCTCTCTAGCGTATGCCTTTAAACGGTAATTCAACCATTGAGACTCACATTGTAGATCTCCGTAATGAGAATGGTAAAGCTGGCCTGCACTCCGCCGGAGATAAGAGAGATGATCAGGCCCATTATCATGTAGGACATTTCAGGAGCATTCATTCGCAAGATTTCGGATGACGCTTTCAAATCTTCGTCTTTTATCTAGAAAAGTTGATTGACAGGGAACGTCATAGCTCTCAATTTTGATTAAGATAATTGAGTGGTTCAAGTGACAAGCATAATTGCGGTATTATCTGATGTGATGTGATAATATGTAAATTGATGCATGTGTATGACTTTTTCATTCAAAATTCCGCAGTGGGCTGGAAGCGATATGACAGAAAGTTAGCAAGACATAAACGTACCAAAGCGAAGTCGTCAATGGTTTTACCATCACTAGCGCTTGAGACATCGTTGAGCTTAAAAAAAAACGGAAGATCCAGACACAAATGGAAGTGGATTAAGGAGTCCCCTTAGCAGAATCACATATGAATCAGAGGACATAAAAGGGAACAAATCGGGTTTTTCATATTTACACATGGGTGGACTTCAGTGAATGCGTGAAAGAACCACAACGAAACACTAGCTTGCTGCGGATGTCACATCTGTCTCTAGGAGCCAAATGCCTAGCCCAGACTAACCCCATTTCTGCTTTAGAATCATGGACATACTGCCTGTTTCAAATGCGACTGTCTTATGACAAGTATGGACGACTAACACTTAAGAGGATATGGAGGAAGGGGACGAAGATGAGAAAATATTCACCTACCGAATCATGATACGAGCGACTAGTTCTACCTGCTTCCGATGAAGTCCTTCTCACACTTGCAAGCTGTAGACATCAAATGTGGTTGGTTGGACTCCATCAGGCTTCACAGTGCTTAGGTGACACACAGTCACCTGCTTCTGAAATCCAACACACATACGGAAACACGCTCAAAACGGATGACGTCCTACAGGTGAGGCACTGTGTGCACCTGAGCAGTGTGAAGTGGTCTAGTGGGATGTTTGAGAATCATCAAACGACGTTTACTTAACGATGGAACATACGTCCGCACACACAAGGCAGTGGAAG